TGTGCCACCATGCCCAGCTCATAAAACTTTTTTAAGAAGATGAAATACTAGAACTTGAGCCTGAAAAAACTGAGAATTATGAATTATCTAAAGAATTAAAAATAACCATTTGAAAAATGTTCGACAACCTAAACAAGAATACAGAAAACAATGACAGAAGGGAAATGAGAACCGAGCAAAAAGGTGACAACTGTGAACAGAAACAGAAACTTCGAACCTAATAAAACTTTTTTAAGAAGATGAAATACTAGAACTTGAGCCTGAAAAAACTGAGAATTATGAATTATCTAAAGAATTAAAAATAACCATTTGAAAAATGTTCGACAACCTAAACAAGAATACAGAAAACAATGACAGAAGGGAAATGAGAACCGAGCAAAAAGGTGACAACTGTGAACAGAAACAGAAACTTCGAACCTACAGAATCCAACAAAAAGTAATGGCTGGAGCAGGGAGACGTCTTGGCAGGTTGGGTTAGGGTTAGGGTTAGAGGGTTAGAGGGTTAGAGGGTTAGAGGGTTAGAGGGTTAGGGGTTAGGGGGTTAGGGGGTTAGGGTTAGGGTTAGGGTTAGGGTTAGGGTTAGGGTTAGGGTTAGGGTTAGGGTTAGGTCACCTACTGTCAAGGCTAACAACGTGAGCTCAATCTCTGGAACTCACATGGTGAAAACAGAGAACCAACTCCCTCAAGTTGTCCACTGACCTCCACACACACACCATTGTAAGTACACATACATACATTCATTCCTTCATTCATTCATTCTCTCTCTCAATAAAATGCAATAAAAACTTTTTTAAAAAATAATAAAGGTTGGGAAATTCAAAATACGAGGAATAAAATGTTATTAAAATGTAAGAACCTCAATTATCTCCAACTAGGATTAACAGAAAAAGTCTAAAAATGAAGCACATTATAATCAGAGTTTCCAAAGTCACAGAAAAAATCCTACGAGCAGCAAGAAAAAGGTGCTATATTTGGGCTGGAGAGCTGGCTCAGAGGTGAAGAGCACTGGCTGCTCCTGCAGAGGATCCTAGTTCAGTTCTCAGCATCCACATGGCAGCTAACAACCATCCATAAATCCAGTTCCAGGGTATCTGACACCATCTTCTGGACTCCATAGGCACTGTACACACATGATATGGTACACTTACAAGCAGATGAAATACTCAGACACATAAAATAAAAATTAATCCCAGGAGTTAGGAGGCAGAGGCAGGTGGATCTCTGTGAGATCAAGGCCAGTCTGGTCTACATAGTGAGTTCCAGGCTAGCTGTGGCTAACAGAGAGCCTGTATCAAACAACAAACAAACGAAAAAAGTGTACACCCAATCAAAAGTATCCAGTATACACCAACTGTTATTCTTTTCTAACCACAATGAAATAAAAATCAATAATAAAAAAATCAGAAAATCCACAAATATGTAGTAATTAAATAATATATTCTTGAAAATGGTCTTGCTCAAGAACTAGAATACTTAAAAAATATCTTTGCTATCAAAAGTGACCTAGAGATTCCATGTAATCACTGTCAAAATACAAATATCGTTTTTTTTTCAAAACTAGAAAAAGCAATTCTAAAAATCATATGGAATCGAAAGGGTCAATGAAAAATTCATCAATGTTCAAAAAAGAAATAAATGTGAAAGTATTACTCTTCCTGATTTCAAAACACATTAAAAGCTACAGTAATCGCCAGGCATGGTAGCGCACGCCTTTAATCCCAGCACTCAGGAGGCAGAGGCAGGAGGATCTCTGTGAGTTCAAGGCCAGCCTGGTCTACATAATGAGTTCCAGGACAGCTGGGGCTACAGGGAGACCCCGTCTCAAAAAAACCCAAAAAAAAAAAAAAAAAGCTACAGTAATCAAGATGGCTTAATACTGATATGAAGCTAGATGAATTTGTAGCTTAGTCACTGGAAGGAAAGGAAGACAGGGGTTTTAAGAGCATAATGATGCAAGAGATGCCCTTCTGTGACAGCAAGAGAACTAAAACTAGGCTTCTAAAGCACAGGTTCTCAATCTACACCTCCTGACCTTTGTACCTCTCATCCATTTCATTCATTATACCTACCTGGACTTACAGTTACTGTTCCTTTTTTCTTCACACTCCAAGGCTCCTTCCTTTGCTCCAGAAAGGCAATCAGGTGTGGCTTCGAGCCTGCAAGACCTGTGTATAGGAAAACAGAACATGATGATGCTTGAGATTCACAAAGTAACTACTGACATCTCTAATTCAGTTGTATAACCAGTACAAAAAAAATAACAAAAGTCTCTACAAATTTGATTCTCCAAATGTTGGTTCTTGGCAGACCCATTAAGAATACTAATAAAGGAATGCCCAGTTGCAGATCCTCAGATCTACTTCCAACTACTAACCAAATCAAAGGTAAAGAGAAGAATTTGGACTTCAATATGTAGGCCACAATATTTTATACCAGTGAGTTCCTATAACTACCACTAAAGAAAAGGATAGACATTACCTCAAGAAATGGGTTGGTTAAAGATAAGCACAGCACAACAATGCTCTTATCTGTACCAACAAGCAACCCATTTTTTTTTTCCTGAAAAATAGAGGCATCCAAGAGATATTTCTGAAAGGATGGAAATTAGTGTTGGTAATAAATGTCCAAGGGAAGTAAGTTGTCCTCACCCACAGAGAGCAGGTTTCTGTAATTCTCTAGCATCACATCCCTATATAATTTCCGCTGAGCAGAGTTCAGGTATCCCCATTCATCTGGAGAGAAATCAATGGTCACATCTCCAAATGTCATCAGGTCCTGAAATAAATATAAACACTGCATTAACTATTAACATTGATAAAGTTTCTAACTGACCCAATATGAGAAGTGATTCTGACAGAGACCTTAATTATTCATCAAAATACTTTCTAAGACAATTATGTTCACTATGTATTATCTAACTCTGAAGAAAGAGGACGACACAAGATCCACAAAACTAGTACAGGTAATATTTTTTGAAATAATGAACTTTTAAAGACATGTATCAAGATAAGACTGTATATTAAAGGGGCTGGAGACATCGCTCAGTAGTTAAAGCACTGACTGCTCTTGCAAAGGACCCAGGCTGGATTCCCAGCACCCACATGGCAGCTAACAACTGTCCAGAGATCATTTCCAGAGGATCCAACACCCACTTCTGACCTCCATGGGCATTGCACAACACAGGCACACTTACATACATGTAGGCGAAACACTCATAAAGTAAAATAATAAATAAACAAAAAATACACATTTAAGTGCTATGCTTATATTTTCAAAGACAAATTGTGCATATTTCTTAGATTAGAAAGTCATGGTGCGTTAGAAGACTACTTCCAAATTTTAACATACACAAGCACAAACTGTAGATATTAAAATGTAGATACTGGGGCTGGAGAGATGGCTCAGCGGTTAAGAACACTGATTGTTCTTGCAAAAGACCCGGGTTCGAATCCCAGCACCCACATGGCAGCTAACAACTGTCCGTAACTCCAGTCACAGGGGATCCGACAGCCTCTTCTGACCTCCGCAGCATTGCACGACACAGGTACACTCACATGCAGGCTATTCACATAAAATAAAAATAATAAATAAGCTGGGCATGGGGGTGCACACTTTAATCCCAGCACTCGGGAGGCAGAGGCAGGCGGATCTCTGTGAGTTCAAGGCCAGCCTGGTCTACATAGTGAGTTCCAGGACAGCTGGAGCTACAGGGAGACCCTGTCTCAAAAAGACAAAAATAATAATAATAATATTTTTTTAAAAAGCATCTGCCCTACAAAGCTACAAAGGAAACAATCGATACAGTGAAAAAACAACCTAAAAAGTAAGAGAAATTCTTTGTCAGATGAATTAATATCCAGAATATTTATTTTAAAAGAAAAAAAAATTAGCTGGGTATGGTAGCACCATTGTAACTCCCAGCACTTTGGAGGTAGAGGTGGATGATCTCTGTGAATTTGAAGGCAGTCTGGTCTATATAACAAGTTGCAGGCTGGGGCTACAGAGAGACCCTGTCTCAAAAGGACTTTGAAAAAAAAAAAGGAATGTATCATAGCAAAATCATTAATTTGAGTAATTAAAAATATTATATTTTCAGACTATTTAAAGGAAGCAAATTACTCAAATAATATTTATATTTTACGGATCACATATCCACATAGACATAACTACACATTAAAAACAAGAGACTAGGGACTGGAGAGATGGTCAGCAGTTAAGAACACTGGCTGCTCTTGCAGAAACAAGTTCAAATGACAGCACCCATATAGTGCCTAAGATCCCTCTGTAACTCCAGTTCCAGGGAATCCAATGCCCTCTTCTGACCTCTGCAGGCACTGCACAACACGGGTGCACTTACATACATGCAGGCATAACACTCATACACATAAAATAAAAATAAATAGCCAGGTGTGGTGGCGCACGCCTTTAATCCCAGCACTCAGGAGACAGAGGCAGGTGGAT